CAGCGTGTGTGTGCGTGTGTGTGTGCTGAGTGTGCACGGGGAGCGTGAGCCGGTGTGTGTGCGTGTGTGTGTGCTGTGTGCACGGGGAGCGTGAGCCGGTGTGTGTGCGTGTGTGTGTGCTGTGTGTGCACGGGGAGCGTGAGCCGGTGTGTGTGCGTGTGTGTGTGCTGAGTGTGCGTGTGTGTGTGCTGTGTGCACGGGGAGCGTGAGCCGGTGTGTGTGCGTGTGTGTGTGCTGTGTGCACGGGGAGCGTGAGCCGGTGTGTGTGCTGAGTGTGCACGGGGAGCGTGAGCCGGTGTGTGTGCGTGTGTGTGTGCTGAGTGTGCGGGGAGCGTGAGCCGGTGTGTGTGCGTGTGTGTGTGCTGTGTGCACGGGGAGCGTGAGCCGGTGTGTGTGTGTGTGCACGGGGAGCGTGAGCCGGTGTGTGTGTGTGTGTGTGTGTGCTGAGTGTGCACGGGGAGCGTGAGCCGGTGTGTGTGTTGAGTGTGCACGGGGAGCGTGAGCCGGTGTGTGTGCTGAGTGTGCACGGGGAGCGTGAGCCGGTGTGTGTGTGTGTGTGCTGTGTGCACGGGGAGCGTGAGCCGGTGTGTGTGCTGAGTGTGCACGGGGAGCGTGAGCCAGTGTGTGTGTGTGTGCTGTGTGCACGGGGAGCGTGAGCCGGTGTGTGTGCGTGTGTGTGTGCTGAGTGTGCACGGGGAGCGTGAGCCGGTGTGTGTGCGTGTGTGTGTGTGTGCTGAGTGTGTACGTGGGGAGCGTGAGCCAGTGTGTGTGTGTGTGTGCTGAGTGTGAGCGGGGAGCGTGAGCCGGTGTGTGTGCTGAGTGTGCACGGGGAGCGTGAGCCGGTGTGTGTGCTGAGTGTGCGGGGAGCGTGAGCCGGTGCGTGTGTGTGTGCTGAGTGTGCACGGGGAGCGTGAGCCGGTGTGTGTGCGTGTGTGTGTGCTGAGTGTGCACGGGGAGCGTGAGCCGGTGTGTGTGCTGAGTGTGCACGGGGAGCGTGAGCCGGTGCGTGTGCTGAGTGTGCGGGGAGCGTGAGCCGGTGCGTGTGTGTGTGCTGAGTGTGCACGGGGAGCGTAAGCCGGTGTGTGTGCTGTGTGCACGGGGAGCGTGAGCCGGTGTGTGTGCGTGTGTGTGCACGGGGAGCGTGAGCCGGTGTGTGTGCTGTGTGCACGGGGAGCGTGAGCCGGTGTGTGTGCTGAGTGTGCACGGGGAGCGTGAGCCGGTGTGTGTGCGTGTGTGTGTGCTGAGTGTGCACGGGGAGCGTAAGCCGGTGTGTCTGTGTGTGTGTGTGTGTGCTGTGTGCACGGGGAGCGTGAGCCGGTGTGTGTGCGTGTGTGTGTGCTGTGTGCACGGGGAGCGGGCACCGGTGTGTCTGTGTATGTGTGTGTGTGCTGAGTGTGTACGTGGGGAGCGTGAGCCAGTGTGTGTGTGTGTGTGCTGAGTGTGAGCGGGGAGCGTGAGCCGGTGTGTGTGCTGAGTGTGCACGGGGAGCGTGAGCTGGTGTGTGTGCTGAGTGTGAGCGGGGAGCGTGAGCCGGTGTGTGTGTGTGTGCTGAGTGTGTGCGCGGACGCTGGCGCCCTGCAGGGTACTCGTTCTTCTGCCAGGCGCAGCTGGCGCAGTGGCAGGGCCTTGGAGGTTCCTGGTGGCCTCTGTCCTTGCTGGGGCGTGGCTGTGAGTGCCTCTCTAAACAGAGACGTGCTGGGCCCATAAATAAGTGCCACATGGTGTGGCTGCCTGGGCAAAGATGAGTCCGAGCTGGAGCTGCCTGTGGAGGGGGATGTGAGTCGGACAGTGCACAGTGGGCGCTGCTGGGCAGGTCACCCTCTTGCATCAGGTGCAGGGGTCCGCTCCTTGGTGCTGACTGTGCTGCCGTTCCCGACCTCCCTGTCTCTCTCTGTCGGGGCCTGGGAGTGGCAGTACCGTCCCCACCCTCACCTGCTGGACGCACACGCACTGCTTGCCAGACCTTCTGTTGGACTGGACGTCAGAGCTGGTTGTCTGGTGCTCCTCTCGGGCACCCTGATGAAGGACGCGGTGCGAGGCTGTCCAGTAACCTCGTGTGCTTTTGCCTTTAAATCTGTCTACTTTTCTACTTACTGAAAACGGGCCTGAGTTTAAGTCAAGTCTGATGGTTCTTCAGAAGCAGCACACAGACCAGCCAGATGGTGTCCTGAGGGCCCTGGCGTGGCGGCTGGGAGCGCCGGCCCAGGCACACTTCCTCAAAGCCCGCTGGTGGTCTGCAGGAGCCCCCTGCGTTGTGGTCTGTTTGGACTCTCAGGAGTGTCTAGAATCTTCTGACGGTGTTTTTTCTGCCGCCGTTCTCTGCATTTACGCATCTCTTCCAGGGCCGGCACTCCAAGCTGGTGCTCACTGAGCGGAAGTCCCACCCGGCAGGGCACGTCAGGGACCAGGAGGGAGGCCGTCAGATGTGCTCAGCACCAGCAGACAGGCCTCGTCCGTGCTGAGTTTTTTAGGATTCCAGCAAATTTGGAGGTCTGCTTGGTGTCCCTGTGCCAGGAAGGTTAGGAGCAGCTGCTTAGCAAAAAGGTAGAGACACAGGCCCACTGGCCAGGCCAGACAGAAGAATTTCCAAAGCCACCAGAACACCCCTAAAGGCCTATGAGTCGGGGGACCCGCCGTGGGCTGGGCCCTGAGGGCATGAGCAGGCTTGGGCCCTAGACAGGTCACGAGGGGAATGTGGATGCCCATGTAGGGACGCACGCGGTTGAGCCTGCCACTGCATCCAGGCGGCCAGTGCACACCGGCCACGTGTCCTACCGCCTCTAGCATCTCAAGGACGCCAGGCCTGTGCACACGGGTACAATGTGAACTCCAGTCTCCTCTGTGAGATACGTGCGCTTTCCCTGTCATTTTACCATGGAGACTCTCGGACCCTTGGCAGGGTTGAAGGGACCACACAGTGGACACCCCGCTCCACTGTTACCCCAGCTTCATGCTTTCCGGCACAGGCCTCTGCTGTTCCCCATAGGCCCTTCAGCTGGCAGGTCATTAATGGACTAGATTTCAGTATTTGCTACACTGCTCATTTCCCTTTTGTGGGAAAATTGGCATAAAACAAAATACACAAGTATTAATGGTACCATTAGGGGAGTTTTGCCATATGTGTGCATCTCTGCAACCAGACCTCCCAGCAGGATCCGGGTGACACCAGCCTGCAGGCCCTTCTGGTCAGGCCGCCCCCCGCCCCCGAGGCACCCACTGTCCGAGGATTCCCATCAGTTGGTCTGGCTCGTTCTGAGCGTCCATCCGGTAAAGGGAAGCCCTGGTCTGTAAGGTTTGTGTCACTAGGCAAGCTTTTGGACCCATCCGTGTGGTGTGTGCCACGGAATGCTCGCTCCATTGTAGGAACGTGTGACCGGCCACGGGCTCTGCCGTGGGTGGACATCTGGGCTCTTCCTGTGCCTTTGGCTGTTTGTGTGAGGCTCGTGTGTGGATGCGGGCTTTGTGTCCGCGGGTAAATATCTTGGTGCGGAGTAGCTGGTCAGAGGCAGGTGTGTGGTCAGTGTTACAGGAATCGGTGGCCTTTCTCCAAAGCGGTTGTTCCATGGTGCCCCGCCGGCAGGTGCGTGGGTGGCCCCCGTCCTTGCCAGCATTTGGTGCTGTTGGGGGGCACTTTGTTTGCACTTCTTGGATAATTAATGAGGGTGGGTTCTTCTCATGCGCTCACGAACTCCATGCTTCTCCTCTTGAAGTGTCTGTTCAAAACTTTTACCCATTACTTGGCTTTTATCTTTTGAATAGACTTCATCTTTCAGAGCAGTTGTAGGTTAAAGGCAGAACGGAGCGGACTTCCCCATCTCCCCCGACCGCGCACACAGGGTTTCCCGGTCCACGCCTGCACTGGTGTGCTGTGTGTCCCCGTCGGTGGTGGCCCCGTGTTGCCATGATGGCGGCTCACTGGGCACCTGCCCATCTGTGCCCTCGGTGCCTGGGGCTGTGACATCATACAGAGGCCTCACTGCCCTGAAAGTCCCCTGTGCTCCCCTGTTCATCCCTGGGCCCCGCCCCCACCCCCAGCAGCCACTGGCCCGTTTACGGTCTCTGGAGCTTTGCCTCCGGGCTCGGTGTCGTGCGTCCATGTCGACACCACGGGTTCCCGCTCACTCCCACAGGACGGCTCCTTTCACTCCTTGCTCTTCTTTCCAAACCTGGCCCGGCCAGCTGGTCCGTCTGCCCCTGTGCCTTCTGTCACCTTGTGGCGACCCCCCCGCCCGAGTGCGTGCCTTCAGAGACCGAGAAACAGGGTGCCTTTTATTCAAGGACCTTAGAGCTCGTGGTGGGGTGTCTGGGACCTCGTGGGACCTGTGGCATCGGGGACTTTCTTCTTCTGTGTTTGGGCCCAGGGTCTCCCTCCCGACACCTGGTCTGGCTCTGACTCAAGTTACCATCTCAAAGGCACAGCAGACCCGTGAGTGACACGACTTCTCGCTGCGTCTGACCGGGTGCCTTACTCAGCGTGTGAGTGTGCGTGTCCAGCTGCATTCCAAATCACGGAGGATTTAATCTGGTTACTCTTCAGTCATCTGCTGAAGAGCGAGGACAGGTCCTATGCCAGAGTCCCCGCAGCTGTCCCCACCAGCACCGGCACCGCAGAGGTGCCCACCGGCCACCAAAGGTGGCCCACTGTGCGTGTCTGTCCCCCAGGAGCCACGCATCATGGGGCAGACACCACATGCTGTGCCTGGCAAGCTCTCAGCAGCTGCTCGAGGGATGGTGTGAGTGTCCATGCTTCTGGTCGGTGCCCCACGGGCTGGGGGCTGCTCTGGGAAGGCCGCGCGTACTCTGAGGGCTGTGCCACTGGCCCCGGGAGTGGTTCACAGGTTCCAGTCAGCCTGATGCCTCACTCCTCCTGGGAGATCTGGTGCCGAGCTCGGATTCACACCAAGGTCCTGTGCTGCGTGTTCGGTCTGCGCCCTGGGGAAGCGGTTGGGCAGCCGGAGCCCGTGGGCTTGGGTGCAGACATTCCTTGACTCCTACTACAGACATGCTCCTCGACCTCAGTGACCTGCTCCAGGTAGACTGGTTTCCTTCCTGAGCCCCGTTCCCAAGGGAGGCTGGGACTGGGGCTTGTGCCACCCAGGCTGGAGGCTGGTCCACAGAACAGAGGACACACTGGGGTGTGGTCTGTTTCAAAACCGGTGGGGGGGCAGTAAACACAGGGTCACAGCGCTGCCCTGGGAGCTGGGTGGACCCGGCCTCAGAGCCAGTGGAAAGACCCAGGTGAAATTGGTCTGAGGGGAGATGCTTTGAGAGAAAAACAAAGGGACTCACATGCATGGATCTTCAACAATATAAAAAGCCACATTATAGTCTATTTGGGGACCCTGTCTGGGTACCTGGCAAGCATTTTCTGTTGCATCTGTTGTTTCCAAACTACTGAAGGTGATGGAAAAAGACCCAGCAAGAAGGACACCTGTGTGGACGGGACCCTTACAGGGTGGGGCCGTCGAGGTTCTGCATGTGTCCCGTCCCTGGGGACACAGGACTGGGGCAGGCGGAGGGATCGCTCCACGGAGGACTCGGAAAGAGCAGGGGGCACAGAGAACAGACGTGATCACAGTGTGAGGGGTGTGTGCAGGACTCACAGAGACCCCACGCCTTTGAGGAAAGCTTGGTCGGGTCCGGGTGCCCCCCACACCGCAGGGCCCCCCCGCACTGACAGAGCTCAACTTCCGCGTAAGCCAGATGCTACCCGTGTGTCTGCCCTCCCAGCTATCTTTATAAATGGCATCTCTCAGGAGTCTTGCTGAAATAGTCTGTGGCCACGCTAATAATAACCTGCTGGCATCATGGAAGCCCAGGGCTCCATGTGCGGTGCGCGGACAGGGCGTAGCCTCGTAGCCTGTCCCCTCCTGGGCCTTCCCAGCAAGGACACAGGGAGCTGGTGCAGGGCTGCCAAGGGCTGACACAGGCTCAGGGTTCATCTCCCGCTGAGCACCCCCTGGCAGGAACTGAGTGGGGGAGGTCCTGGCACCCCATGAAGCCGTGGCTGGCACAGGGCCACTCAGGGCCGTCTTCGTGCAGAGCCCGTCCGCCCGTTGGACAGGAATGGGAAGGCTGGCCAGCCACACCCGGCTGCGACCAGCCGCCTCCACGGAGACGAGCCACAAACACAGGGAGGGGTCCTCAGAGTCCGTGTCACTGTTTCTAATGCCTGCCGATGAATGTCAGCATCTCTGGCAGTAACCACACGCGTTGTACAAGCCTTTAAACATTGAACTTTTCCAGAGAACCCTTTGCAGCATCCAGGTCTCCATGGGCCTGGGACAGGGTCAGGGAGGTGGGAGGTGGGGAGGGGGCAGCACACTGCGGGGCAGGTGAGTTCCACTCCGGTCCAAAGGGGCATGAAGTCGGGAGGGTGAAGACGCAGGAGCTTGGGGTGTTCCTAGAAGATGCACGCTTCCACATGCACACACAGTAACATGCTCACACACTGTGCGTGCACTCTGGTGGGCAGGCCAGGGGCCGAATCCCTTCAGAAGGCGAGGTCTGTGAGCCACCAGCCCTATGAAGGGGGCTTCCTGGAGAAGGAGGCCTGGGTGTGGAGTGCTGGCCCCCCGCACCGCACCGCACCCTCCATCTCCTCCAAGCGGACTTTGTACCATTCTTTAGTGCTCCCTGACGGCTGCAGACGCCCACCTGTGCTGCCTGAGAGCCCCCGATGGGCGCTCTTGATGTTTCTTTGCAGTCTTTTCTGGTGGCTTCTTTGGCGTGAGGCTAAGGGGCCCTCATCCAGGACCTCACAGGCCAGGCTTGATAAGGCAAAGGGACTCTACAGGGAGACCAGAGGCAGGGGGCCAGGGCCAGGACACTGAGGCCTGCGAGTCCCAGGGGCAGGGCAGGCCTCTCCAGCTCAGGTGGAAGGGGCTAAGCCTGGGCTTCTCCCAAATCACCTTATCCAAGCAGAACAGCTTCTGCCATGCCTGTCGTCAAACACAGCTCAGAAGCCCCTCCTCACAGCCACCCCCCCCCCCCCGGCCTTGGTCAGCACAGGACCGGCTCTTAGGACAACTCCAGGCTCAGCCGCACTGGAGGTCTGCGCCCTAGAGTCCTTGAACCTGTGTTCAGTTGCAAGCAACCTGGTCAGGCGGTGGACTCCACAGCCGATTTGGATTTGATGGGGGTGGGGGGAGGGGTCACTGAGGCCTGCAGAGACCCACGGCCATGACGGAGCTGGTCCACGGGGACACAGACAAGGATCCCAGCAAGGGAGCACGCAGGGGTGCAGAGCATTCTGAATGACGCACAGCGAGCTCTGGGCTGTACCTCAGCAGTCTCTCTCGCAGCAGATCCAGTCGTTGCTGAGACAGTGCAGGGTCTGAAAAAGCTGCCTGGGATTGGGCAGCAGGGTGGGCCTTGGAGGGGGGCGGCTATCAGAGACTGAACGGTGAAATGCATGTCGTAAGGAACAAAAGCAAACGTTTCCTAAGTCCCAGTGCTGTCCTCAGCTGTGGCTTCTTCCCTACAGGTGAACGTGTACGTGCTGGGGAAGACGTTCCTTCTTCTGGCAAGGGAGCTGTGCATCAACGCGCCGGCCATCGGTACGTTGGGCGGGAGGGAGTCCTGTGCGGGGACGGGCTCCACCAGGTCGTAAGAAATGTCTGAGAAGCAGCTGGGAGGCCGACAGTTTGGGGGTTACTTCTGGTTTAGAACCAGAGTGCCCATGGTCAGTCCCCGGCAGGTGTGGAGGAGGGTACAGAGGGAAATGGGACCCATCTGTCCACCTGTTGAGGAATACACCTGGTGGCCGGTGCCCCGGGGAAGGCAGGACCTCTGCAGACGGAGAGGTGCTTTCTTAGCCCATTCTGCCTTCCCTGGAGCTTTACTGAGAGGATTGTTTTCACAGTCTGCTTGCGGGGGCTGCTCCCCATTTTGCCCATCATCCTCTACAAGTGTATTCTGTTTCAAGGAGGCAGAGTGCAGGGCCAGGGAGGGTGGGCTGGGGGTGCAGTCCTGGATAATCCACAGGATGGTACCCTGGGGCCGGGAAGGCAGGGTCTGGCAGGGTGGGTCAGGAGAGGGGTCCAGCTACAGGGCTACACTAGGCTTGGGGGTTCCACTCCCAGCCAAGACCCTCCCCCAAGAGGCCACGTCCCTGTGCCGAGTGACATGGTTCCTCCCTCCGGGGGTCAAGCTGAGGTTTTTCAGAAACAAAGCAGCCAGCCACAGAGTGTGCAGCCTGGGAGGACAGAGGTAAGGGGCTCAGAGAGCCTGCTTTACCCCGAAGCATGCCTGCACAGGGGCCATCTGGGGCCTGCAGAGAGTCCCACCTCACCCCGCCACCCTCAAATCGGAGTCCTCCAGTAGGGCTTTGTCTGAGAGGCTGGGATGCCTCAGGAACGACACAAGCAGACACCTGGCCTTTTCCAGAGTGTTCTGGCCACAGACCCACGGTGGAGGCCGACAGATGGGGACAGACAGGCCTCCCCAGGAGGCACTTGGTTTCTAACCAGGAACCGTGGCTTAGCACCGGAGGCTTTTTCGTGTGCTGGAAGGGACATGCCATTCACAGACACATGGGAAAGCGCGTGCCTCAGCTTCACACTCCTTCACTCGTTTCTCTTGATAGCTTGTTTCATTTGAAACCTTGTTACGAAAATGCAGCTAGATGTGGACTGTTTTAGGTGCCTTTTCCCAATTTTGGATTTGAAGGGAAGGTTTCAGGTTAAGCGTAGCAGTGCTGCGAATTCATGGGGGTGGGAGGGACAGCAAAGCCCACAGAGCAGGCCGGGGGGGCACCACAGGATGGGGCCTGCAGGAAGCCCGCCTTGTGCCCCAGATGTGCCCAGCGGCCAGGACTCAGAAGCCCTGGCTCTCGCTGTGTAGGAAGAGCATCAAGTTCCAGCTCTGGGCTGCTGCTGACTACGAACGAAAGAGAGAGAAAAAGGAAGCGAAGCCTTTAATGGTGTCGGTGGGGCAACCGGCAGGGGGAAGGGGCCTGCTACACGTCCCTTCCCGGCGGGTGCACCTCCTCCCGATGCGCATCATAGCGCGTCCATGCCACCCCAGGCAGTTCAGGCATAGAAGATGAGCTCGGGGATCTGCCCACCCTGGACCCCGGTCCCGTTGGTGCTGTCTGAAGAGCACTGGAACTGGAAGGTCACCTTCCCACACTGTACTTCCGTCATGCCCTCCTGCCCAAAGTAGCTGAGCTCGCTGCCGTCCAGAACGGCGCTGGCCGTGTAGAAGGTGTCCTGCTCCACCTGTACGGGGTGTTCAAACCACACTGAGAAGGTATTGCTGGAGCCGTCCGACACAAACTTGGTCAGGTTCTGAGCCAGGACCACCCCCAGCCGCTTCAGTTCAATCTTGACGCTGTACTCGGCTTTCCCGGAGCTGGACCCGTACAGGCCCAGCCCCGCGACGAACACCCTCCTGTCCACGGCGAACTGGATGCTGTCACAGCGCCCGCGGTAACGCCACTGATTGCTACGGTAGGCAGAAGACTGGAAGCGGTGGCACCGCTGCGGGGCCAGGCCCTTCCTCTTGGTCAGGGGGAAGTTGAGCAGTGGCTTGTTGGCCGCCGTGTACCATAGGAAGATGTTGTGGGTCTCCTCCAGGGTCAGGATGTCCGACTGGGCAGCACCGTTGGCAAACTCCTCCAGGGTCATGGTGGGAATTCGGACCAGGTAGAGGGCAGGCCCCAAAACGTGCCTCTTGTTGCGTGGGGTGACCGGCAAGCCCTGTCTCTTGCACTCTGCCTCAGCCCAGTTCAGGACGGCCTCGAAGACCACTGCCTCCTTGGCGTTGAGGGCCTCCCGTGTCACGATGATTTCCAGAGTCTGCCAGTCGATTTCACAGAAGCCTTCAGACCTCAGGGCCATTTCGGCCTGTGCATCAATGACTTCCCAGCAGCGCTGGGTCAGCTCCGGCTCCTCGAACAGCCGGCTCTGGGACAGCAGGATGCAGGCGTTCTTGGCTTCCAGACTCGTCTCCAGAAAAGTGACACAGGCTTTCGCTAGAGCGGGGACAATGTACTTCTTGGCAGCATAAAGGGTGGCCAGCACCGTGTCGGCTTCCAGGTCAATCTCGTCACTGTACATGTACCTGGGGGCAAGGTGGAGGCCGCATCACAGGCTGCTCCGCGCGTGCCAGGCAGCTGCACCCACCCCCTCCCTGCGCCCTCACGCCGCGCACTTACTTTAACAAGATCAGAAAAGCTGCAGGCTCCACGTCGGGGATGTGGATTTCTGACTTGATTTCTGCCAAGTCGCCGTAAAACATGGCATAGAAGACGGAGCTCCCGACAGCCAAGACATACTGCGGAGAGACAAGCTGCCCTGAGCCCTCCCTGCCCCCAGCGGATGCCAGGATGGGATGCCAGGACGCCACACCCGAGGGGAGAGCACAGTCGCTGCTCGGGAGCTGGGCCGAGCGTCCGCTCACCTTGTGGGCAGGCACCCTGCGGGCCGCCCCCGGGGGCCCCACGATGAAGTGCACGTCGGCCATGAGCTCGTTGTTGAACATCAGCGCGTTCCTGCAAAGGGCAGAGGCACACGGCTCGGGGGTCGGGCCGGGGCGGGGGCGCGCGGCGCGGGGCGCAGGGGCGCAGGGCGCGGGCGCGGCCCGGGCTCACCTCTCGCGCAGGGTCGGGTGGAAGGACTGCCAGTTGGGGCTCTCCAAGTTGTTGTTGTCTGGCACGGGCGGCGCGGGCGCGGGCGGCGGCGGGGCGGGCGGCGGGGCGCTGGGCGGGCCCTTCCTGCCGGCGGCGGTGGCGGCGGCGGCGTTGCTGTTGGCGATGTCCGTGGCCGTGGCGGCCGCGGCGCCGGCGGCCGGGTACAGCTCCGCGGCCATCTTCGCGGGCAGGGCGGCCCCCGCGCGCGCCGGCGGTGCGCCGTGCGCCCTCGCGTCGCGCCGGGGCCGGGGGGGCGGCTCTGCGAGCACCAGGAGCGCCGTGAGGCACTGCGCCACCCGGCCGTGCAGACAGGCCA